AAAAAAATATATATATATTTTTTTTTTTCATACTGTCACCAGTCAGTGTCGCTGTTCACCGCTGTCAGTTATATGAGGACGCTGTACTGCACTGGTGACAGTATGTAAAAAAAAAAAAATAGTGAAAATAATTTAAATTTTTTTAATTTTCCGAAAAAAATGACAAAAAAAATACAACTTCAAAAAACTCGCCATTCCTCTTATGAAGTACGTCGGACGGTCTACTCTGCAAAAAGGGGTCATTTGGGGGTATCTGTACTATTCTGACTTTCTTGGACCTCAAGAAATTAGATTGGCTGTCAGTACTTTAGGATTGACCAATTTTCAGATCTCTACCATAGTTTGTGAACTCTATAACTTTCCTACAAACTAAATTATACATCCTAATTTTGGTTATTTTCACCAAAGACATGTAGCAGAATACATCTTGGCCTAAATTTTTGGTCTTTTTTGTTAATTTAGCAAAAAATAAAAACCCCAGCGGTGATTAAATACCACCAAAAGAAAGCTCTAGTTGTGTGAAGAAAATGATAAAATTTTAGTTTGGGTACAATGCTGTATGACCGCGCAATTGTCATTCAAAGTGTGAGCGCTGAAACGTGAAAACTGGCCTGGGCAGGAAGGTGTAAAATTGCCCGCTATTGAAATGGTTTAAGGGACTCCACTTCTGCATATTGTGTCCCGCACTGAGCACTTATCTGACACACACGATAGGAAGAGTATGGTTTATTAAAAACTATCTATCTATCTATCTATATCTCTATCTACATCTATATCTACAAATACACAGAAAAATATATATGTATCCATCTCCAATGTCAGAATGCACTGTTACCTTAATGTGCCACACCCCACTTCCATAAAACAGTTGCAGGCCAAGAAACTTGGTTACAGACAGCGAACGTGTGAACACGGTCTATAAAAGTCGCTGGATCAAGCGGACACTGTGCAGGAGAAGGAGGAGGGCAGCCTGCTAAGAGGAACATATGAAGAGGTGCTTTATCAAGAATTTATGTCTTTAGCTTAACCCTACAGCTGCTGGGAAGCCTGCAATTAATGTCACGGCCAAGTAGCACAACCAAAACAAAAAATTTACAATCGACTTTTATGTTGTAATCTACTTAAGTGAGCAGAGAAAAAAGCCATACGTTTTTTGTTAAAGGAAAACACAGATCCAGACGGGATGGCTTTATAGTGTGTAGAATGACATTATATTAGCTTAGTCCTATAATACCGCTGGATCAGCTCACAAGTGTTAGGCCCAGCCATAACGCCCCTACGCCTCGCTGCTATAGGTTTACATTCACAGCCCATTTTCATCCCGGGGAAAACTGTAACAAACTGACATTTTTCAAAGCCAATAAGATGATCTATAGTGTGTCTTACTGGCCGCCGGATAACAAGTATTTCATTCAATATATACATTGTGCGGAATTTGATTTCGGAGATGTGAAATGGTAAATGTCTTTGGCAGCGGCCGATATTATTCCCTACCGCCACAGAGCAATAAATGGTAGCCCGCTGCCCTAAGCTGAACCGTGGCCATCACTTTCTACCCTTGTTGAGTTAGTATATAAAAGCTTCATGAATCAGGGAACACATCTGTGCCTGTCAGGCACCGTTGGCTATAGTTCTGAGGTAGCTTGTACGTCTTCCAGCCAAGGAGCGGCAGAAAAATTATAATAAGGTGATGTCTACAAGTCTGCACGATAAGGTGGGAACACGGCCAGAAGGGGATGGAGGCACTAAAACAGCCTGTGACTTCTGAAAATATAGGAGATCTAATGTGCAGGTCAGAAGTATTATATGTGCGGAGCACCAAGTAAAACATACTGTGTGCTATACAGAGGAATATAATCCAGCTGCTTAAAACCTAAAGGGAATAAGTAAACATAAAACCCTAAACATATAACTAATTAAAAATTGTTTATTACTGTGTCTGAAAAAAGTCTAGTATAATGCCTATGACAGCCAATCAGCATCACTCTAATATTGACAAGATAGATTTGGATGTGATAATCTCCTAAATGGCAGCACAGATGCCATTTTGAGACATTCTAATAAGTTTTGTTCAACTTTAAAGCTTAGTTCAATTTTATTTTGGCAGCCCAAAGGATATAACCTACTTCTAATGACGTGTTACCCATGTTCTGTCAGCTGCCATTTTGTGTACAAATCTTCTGTGCAGTGACTCTGGATACCCCCCACAGAGCAGTGAGCTTTCCAGCACTGTGGTTGATAAGATCAGCTGCAAGTACAAAGCATTGGCGATTCTCGCCACTTTGAACACTCTCACCTATTAACAAAACTCTCACTATTTTTTCCCAAGACGAAGAGCTCTCCGATTGGAGGAGGTGGGTTCTGTCATTCATCCTGCCAGGAGGACATGGGACAAACTTTACTAGAAGGCAGGCCATGAGTTGCAGGAAAGAAAATAGATTCCTCCATCAAAACAAGCAGTATTGATGAGGGAAACCCTCCCATGGAGCTATTGTGTTCTCTCATCCAGGAGATGACAATTACTGCTAGTGGCTGTAGGTGCTGGCAATAATCGCATGCTAAAAATCAAACATGCTGGTAGTACCCAAGTCGATCGATGGATCAACTTGGGTACAATCAGCCTGCCCATAGATGGATCAAATCTCTACTGGTCCCTGCTGAACTGGCGAAATTCGATCCATCCATGGCTGGCTTAAAGGATCACCTTTTGACCAAAAAATAATACACATTTTTTTGCAGGTAAAAAAAAATGTGCATTATTTTTGGTTGCAGCAGCCTGTAAAACTTGCACCAGCGATCAGCAGATAGCTGGTGCCATGCAGGTCTCCTGCAGACCTGTCACAGTGTCATGGTAGTCTGGACTTGTAGTTCATTCATTCACAGAACACTGATGCAGCCATGCCACACTTTTAAAAAGTGACAGCTAGTACAGGGAACCTCTCCCCATACTGCAGTCACGTGGGGTGGATGGAAGGGGGAATCAGGCAGTGGCTGCAGCATTGGGAAACAAACATGTTCCCAAAAGGTGAACGCATTTTTTAAGTTATGCCTTTGGAGCTGCATAGGCAGAAGAAAAAAAAAAAAAAAAAACTTAAGTTTACAGTAAGATTTTTTTTAGTGGAAACAACCCTGTAGTGCTTGAAGTGTTATATTACCTGGTCCCTCACTCTATGCTGTGGTCCCACCAACCCATACGTCACTACTATGCTCTACAATGAAGTTGATGTTTTAATGGAGTGCTGGGAACTAGTTTATAGAGCGCTGCCCTTGCTGCCAGCCTGCAAATTATCTTTTAAAATGGTGAGCCCTGCAAAGGGCACTGTAGTAAGAGCGCCATCAATGTTTAAAGCAACACAAAACCATAATCAACAATTATTTTGCTCAAAAAATTGCTTCTTACTGTGCTTATAATTCTCCTTTTGAGGTCTTCTGCATACTCCCAAGAGTGTCCTCTTCCCCTTCACTACCATTTTTTTTTTTCTTTTTTGAAGGAGCAGTGCATGTACTTCACAGTCATGTGCACAGCTGTATTGACCGTTACCATAATTTCTAGGGTCCTCCTAGAGACCCTAAAAAAAGACAAAAGTCCATCCAGTTCAACCATTTAAAAAAAGTTATAATCCTATACCCACAGTTGATCCAGCGGAAAGCAAAAAGAAAGCAGCAAAGCATGATCCAATTTGCTCCTGCAGGGGAAAAAATTCCTTCCTGATTCCCCGAGAGTCAATCGGATATTCCCTGGATCAACGTTACTTATAAATGTTAGTATTCAGTTATATTGTGTGTATCTAAGAAACAATCCAGGCCTTTTTTTAAAGCAATCCACTGAGCTGGCAAGAATCAACTCTTGAGGGAGTCTATTCCACATTTTCACAGCTCTTACTGTGAAGAAACCTTTCCGTGTTTGGAGATTACATTTCTTTTCCTCCGTAAAGAGTGCCCCCTTGTCCTCTGTGATTACCTCAAGGTGAATAACTCTACACCGAGTCCACTATATGAACCACTGATGTATTGATACATGTTGATTATATCCCCCTTTAACCTCCTCTTCCCAAGAGAGAATACAGTCAGTTCCTCTAATCTAAACAGTGCATTGAGGTCAGCTTGCACCTTTACTGAGGATTCATTGCAATGAGACTTGTGTGTTCTGCTATGCTGGATCCATTCGTCTATCAAAAGACTAGAGGTTGGAATTTAGTGGGTGGTATTAGGCTGAGGGAAGGATTGATTGAAGAAAAGATACTTGTTGGTACTGTGTGCGTCCACAAGTATATATGAGGTCTATTTTGGGAATGAGCATTAGAGGAGGCTACTGGGCACTATAGAGGACAAAAGTAGCCATTCTATACCATGAAGAGAATGGGAGCAAAGTAAAATGATTTTCATAGGTGAAGATTGCTGTGACTAATACAAGGTAGGTTTTTTTATGATGCAAATACAGACTAGAATTTTTTTTTTCTTTCTCCATTGTGAATTTAGTATCGCTTAAATACATCCAGTTGACTTACCAAAGTAAGAGTCACACAAGTAGCCATGGCATTCTGGGGGCTGTTCCCCTTTTCGTTAGGCTTGTGGCAGAAGAGATAAGGACCAATTGACCTAGATGAATTTGTTAAGACAAACCTATTGTGTAGGAGGGCTTATTCAGGACAACGATGAGAGAGTCCAACACAGAGTCAAGTGGACCTTTAAAATATTGTTGGCACTCAACTACTTTGACTGCCTTCTTGACTCTTTTGTAGTCATGTAGGAACAAGCAAATGAACACTTAGGGCCCAGTAGTGGACATGCTATCTGACACACTTGAAAGTATCAGATATGAGTGAAGGCCAAATCCTGTGCAAGAGAGCAATTATTTCAGTTGTCGCACACAGGAAAGGCACATTCTTTAAAATTGAGGCACCAGTTTTTTTAAACACTAACAAAGTTGCTTTAAGCCAATGCTACCATTTAGGAAAATGTACAAGGAAGCATTAAGGTTTAGACAATCTCATTCTCACCTGCTGGACAGACTAAGAAGCTCGTGTTTTTCGGTCACAGGTGCCTTTTTATCTAGCTCCCAGATCAGCACGTTGATGAGATGAGAATTCTTAATGACAATAGGAACCTCTTCAAACATGCTTTCGAAGGCAATGCTTGCCTTTTTCAATCTGCAGACAAGAGACAGGACACAATTGATCAGAAACACAGCAATCAAATTGATTTAAAGACTGAGAAGCAACTGGTAATATTCAGCTGTATATATTGGACTTCCTGTAAGCTCTATGGAACAGAATCATCATCTGATGAATGAGGGACATAAAAAAAAATAAAATAGATACTAATGCATGCCCCCTTCCAAAGAGCTATTAGGCTTACCTACTCCATCGGCCATGTCGCTTACCTTTCCAGCTCTACAGTCTCCATCAGACTCTTCAATGTTCCATACTTCCAATAATATCTAATGGAGGATGCAGTGCTGGAAACCTTGGAGACGTAAGAGACATGTCCAATTGAGGAGTTTTTTTTTTTTTTTTTTTTAAATAACAGGTTTATACTTGCATGCTCTGTGCAATGGAATTACACAGAGCAGCCCCGAACCTCCTCTTTTCAAGTACCCTGCAGGCGCACTTGGCTCTTCTTCTTGAAGTGCTACCATAGGAAGCTGCCTCCTATGATGGCACACATGCGAGGGTCGGTTTTGCTGTCCATATCCCACAGCCACAGGATTTGACCGACAGCAGCAGTACCAATGGCTCCTGCTACTCTCAGCAGGGGGGAAGAGGAAAGAGCAGCTACAGACAAGCACAGCGCTGGATCGAGTGAGGAATTGTGCAAGTATAACGAGGAGTGAGGGGGTGATAATTTAACCTAAACATTTTTCATACATTAAAATTATAATAAAATTATAATACATTAAAATGGAACTACACTGTATCTAAGCATCACAAACCCAAAGCACTATTTAATTAATTTTTAATAGTCAACGTAAACCCAGCCATCGATCCATGTCTCCGTGATTTGTTTGGCTGAGAAATCACTTAGAACCCCCCAGCATTTCAGGCCGTGGCCATCTTGAGTAAGGGCAGATAATTCATAAAGCAAAATGTTCAGGCTTTACAACCACTTTAAAAGATTGTTACAATTTGTTTTCTATAAACATTAATGAAGGGTTAGAACCTCTGTCAAGTTTACATTGTAGTCTACCCCATCTGGGAAATCTCCTCTGACTTCCTATACTAGCAGTTACAATATATCAAAGGTTTCATTCCCCTTCACTAAAATATATTTTTTGGTGCAAGGGACCTTCATTTCAAAGAATGGAAAATTTAGTACTAAAGGACACAAGAACCAAAAATAGATCATTCAGTCCTGCATGGTTGCTGGCAGGCCCGAATCACAGGTGAGTGTTTATATTTAAGAATGCAGTAGTAAAATGTACCCACCAGACACCCCAGCTACCACACACAGTTATGGTCATTAGCCAAAATGGTTTGAAGATGCCCCCAGTGAAGTCTTTAATTTAGAACAACAAATATTTGGATAATGCCAAGGAATATCATCTTTGATATTGTCTTGTGACAGGTGGAAAAATTAAATTACTGTATGGAAGTCTCATTACTGCAGCCCCAAAAGATATTAGACTGCCAGTAATCCAACCCACCTAAGCACATCCAAAAGCTGAGCAAACACGATCGAAGCATCCATTAGGCCAGGGGTGATCAAAATTTTGAAGAGCAAGGACCACTTAAGGCATTTGTTAACGGGTCGTGGACCACAGTGAAATTAAGAGGTTCAGGATTTTGAATAGCATAATGAATATATTCCTCCTGCAGCCGCAGGGAGAGGAGGAAAAGCCGGTATTTGGTGGTTGCAGGAGGATAATGGAGAGGATTGGTTCCTGTATATGCCGCCCCCCACCGCCTTTCCTGTCAAAGCGTACAACAGAATATGACAGGGACAGGTGAAAAAGCAGCCTAATGGTTGTTAACCCTTCTATTGGAGCCAATATGCCCATTGCAAAAGCGCAGTGTACGTGTTTAGCCACCTCCCACCCGTCATATAAGGAAATGATGGGAGGGAAGCAGCACTCTCGCTCTGGGAGGACGTCATCCCACTCTAACTGTGCATGAGTGCCCCTGGGTGCGTGCGGTGATTGGCGGTTACCAATCACAGTAAAGACCTGATGACGTTGGTTCTGTCATGAGATCAGCTGTGTTCAATCACAGCTGATCACATGTAAACAGGAAATGCAGGTTATCGGCAGTCCTTTCCTCACGCTGAGGGGACATCTACACTGATCAGTGCCCTGATGATCAGTGCCACTCCATTAATGCCACCTGTCAGTGCCCATCAACGCCAGTTACCAGTGCCCATCAATGCCACATATCAGTGCCGGTTATCAGTGCCATATATGAGTGCTGCCTTTCAGTGCCCGTCAGTGCTGCCTGTCAATGCCCATCAGTGCCTCCTCATCAGTGCTCATCACTGCAGCCTCATTAGCCTCAAACGTTTGTTTAGCAAAACATAAAAAACCCAGTGGTGATTAAATACCACCAAACGAAAGCACTATATGTCTCAAAAAAGATAAAAATTTTGTTTGGGTGCAGTGTTGCATGACCACACAATTGTCAAAGTGTGACAGCACTGAAAGCTCAAAATTAACCTGGCCAGGAAGGGGGTAAAAGTGCTCGGTAGGCAGGTGGTTAAAAACCCTGACTTTTTTTTCCCTCTGGGACAGGAGCTCGCACTACAGAGGAAGCATTGGCTTATGTAGCTCAGCTCCCTCCATGCCTGCCTGCTTCCTCCACTGTGGGCACCGGTTCGATGCACTCTGATACTCTAAGATGGCAGGTTAGCAAGCCCAAATCACAATCAACGAGTTGCCAGCCCCGGGCATGTGCTTCGCTGGTTTGAGGTCGAGGGCCACAGGTTGAGCTCCCCTGCCTTAGGAATTGTATACAACACCAATCCCTGCCACTCACCTACGTCCCAGTCTGTTCAATATCTAACTCATTTCGGTTCAGTGTGGGAAACATTTCATTGAGAAATCATGTATTTACTGGGAGAAGGAGAGCACACTGCAGGTGTAAAGTCTCAATAAGAGAAGGGCCACTAGTGACAGGAGAACAGGAAGATAGATATTGATAAAATTTGCTGATAAATGTATATGGCAAGATCTCCTCAAGTACCCAGCTGTGCAGCCAAAGGCCGGCAGCAGAACTGACATGCAGATTGTTCATGATTGCCGTTTTGCTCCTGACTAAGCTACAGCCAATAAGAGTCAAAGCTAAACCCCAGCACTCTTCTGCAAATAAAAATTTAGCTGCCTGCACGTAGTCATCTATTGATTGTCCATATTTTAGAGAGATATAGATATAGATATATATATATATATATATATATATATATTGATATATATATCAATTACTTATTTTGCGCCCCCCTCCCAAAACACTGCAGCTACAGTTATGGCGCTAATACGCATACTGCTGGCAACATACTCAACTCAATGCAAAGTGCAAGGGTGCTCGGAATTTAGAAGCAATGTACAGTAGCACTGTTGCCATATCATCACATGAGATGCACAAGACAGACCGCATGGACAGCAGGCGTAGCAGGTGTTTGTGGGACTTTTTGGGCAGTGAAACTAAAAGCATATGTACTTAGAAGTGGTGCAGCACATTGCTTTCAATAGGAGTGGCTCTGCATTAAAATGTTGAAGTATCACTAATCTAAAGGGATAAGGACTAAAATAAAATATAGGGACAGAGTGAAGAGAATTCTCAGGAGGTATGATTCTTGAAGCACACGTGATCAGGTTTCCTCCTACGGCTGATGAAGGTGTTTTCTACAGCTTACCTCGCACCTCCCCAATGTGAGAAACAAGCAACACAGACACTGGGAACACGTACCCTTCCACACTGAAATCTTTCTCCTTGCAAACTTCCATCAGTTTTGGAGTCAGACGATAAGCCTTAAGTGAGAGTGAACCTTGACCGGTCTTAATGGGATCTAAACAAGCAGGAAAAGAGAACGTTATTTATGGGCACAAGATACAAGTCTATGTCCAAAAACTCCTTCAATAAACAGAATTTAAAATCTGCTGTTATTTAAAAAGTCATAAATATGCATTATCCAAAACAAAACATTGCTTCAGAGAAAAATTGAGGCAACAGGTAAAATCTTTATGCAATTGGTTAATGCTACTCGGCAAACAGCAACAGTGTGGATGCAAGGGATCATGGGAAAATGTATTTCTGGTTTAATTGTAAAGTCATGGCCCTCCTTACCTTCAGACAGAGCAGGGCTTTGGGCAGGTCTTCCAGGTGGGAGTGAATCCAAAGGCTACATGACAATGGAAACCACATGGTTTTTAATGGTGCCCGTTCAGATCAATGCAACTCAGCACTGTGTGATTTTGGAAAAAGTTCCTGTATTACTTTGGTGCGATTCAAGCGCTATTTTGGTCCCATAGAATATGCAAACCACATTTAACGTTGCGCTATACAATTGCACTGAAACTCTTACTGGAGATAAACTTTTTGATGAAAATGATCCTTTAAGGTGGCTATAAGAACTCCATTTTTACTGAAATCACAAAGCATTAGGAAATATAAAATACCGTATATACTCGAGTATAAGCCGAGTTTTTCAGCACATTTTTTGTGCTGAAAAACAGCCCCCTTGGCTTATACTCGAGTCAACGTCAAGGGGGGCGCGTACAGGGGTGGGCAGAGGGCTGCTGTCTATCTTACCTGGCTTCCACGATGATCCATCCAGGAAGCGCTGCTCCTTCCGTCACTCCGGCTACTCCCTCACTCCTGCCGCTCGGCTCCGCCTCCTCACTGGTGATTGGCCGCCAGAACTGTAGCTCAGGAAAGGTACACAGGCGGCCAATCACGGGCGAGGAGGAGGCGGAGCCGAGCGGACCCACAAAAATCGAGTGAGGGAAAAGCCAGTAAGTGTGCAGTGCAGAGGTGCTGCTGCAACCACATATGCTGGCTGCAGCAGCACCATACTGCAACAGGGGTCAGCAAGTGTCATTGGTGTCAGTGGGAGGAATAGTGCCGCATCATTGGTGTCACTGATACTAATGAAGGGGCATTATTCCTCCCACTGACACCAACGATGGGGGCACTATTGTGACACAATGATGGGGCACTATTCCCCCACTGACACCAATGAAGGGGCACTATTTTCCCACTTGGGGCACCTCCCCACTGACACCAACGATGGGGCACTATTCCTCCCACTGACACCAATGATGGGGCACTATTCCTCCCACTGACACAATGATGGGGCACTATTCCTCCCACTGACACCAACGATGGGGCACTATTCCTCCCTAGTGATACCAATGATGGGGCACTATTCCTCCCACTGACACCAATGATGGGGCACTATTCCTCCCACTGACACCAATGATGGGGCACTATTCCTCCCACTGACCAATGATGGGGCACTATTCCTCCCACTGATACCAATGATGGGGCACTATTCCTCCCACTGACACCAATGATGGGGCTTATACTCGAGTCAATAGTTTTTCCCAGCTTTTTGTGGTAAAATTAGGTACCTTGGCTTATATTCGGGCGGCTTATACTCGAGTATATACGGTAGTGGTTTCCAGTGACAAAATTGCTGTAGATGTTCCCCCATGTCGATTCAATCTTCTAATAAACCGCACAAAAACTGTCACTTTAGCCCTGGTTCACACTGCTGCGGCCTGTCAAAACATATTCATTTCAATGGGTGCCGTCATTATGCGATTCAAGTCGCAGCAGCAAAAAAAAAAAAAAAAAAAAAAGTTCCAGGTTCCCTGACTACTTTTCTTTGACTATGGTGCAACTTAAGTGCCACAGATTGCAATGTTACATCACAAAAGTTGCAAGCAAGTCGCAGTGTGAACCGTGTCTTACTGTTCACGATCGAATGGATGCAGACAATCAAATCTGTAGGTGGAGGGTTGCTTAGTTTCTTGATAAAATAAAATTAAAAAAATTAAAAAATGAAGGGCCCTTTCCCACCTGCGCATTCCACTGTGGTGCTATGCCATAGGCAGGTTAACGAGTATATTTTTTTGCATTGTGTTAAAGCAACTCATTCATTTCAATGCATAGCATCAGATAAAACTGGACCCGTTTCTTTTTTTTTTTTTTTTTTTTAGTGCAGTATGTACGTTGGGGTGCTCTGCAGCACAGTTCAAATGGCACCCACTGTACTGTAGGGTGCCATCCTAAATGAATGGCATCGCTATGCACAGAACTAAGTGCTGCGCATTACCCAAACTCAATAAATGGGACTAAATGGAAAAATATTTTCAAAAAGTATGCCGTTCCAGCAGCAGTGGCCAGTTAAGTCTACATGGTGACTGAATGGAGAAGGGCTCTCATAATAATAAGTTAATGTAAATTACAATGATTATCCCTGTTCAACCTCTCGCCAAGGAAATCTGAACAAGGTCAAACTGTGCAAAACCCAGAAGGCTCGGGGAGCCGATGCATGTTCAAACTGACGCCAGGTTAAAAAACTCTGTACCAGACGTGTACTCCGTAGAGTATACACAGCTGTAAACGTCCTGGGGCTGACAACTAATACAATAAACTTACAACAAGCTCCCAAAGACAAGAGCAGCCAGCTACTGCCCTTAAAGGGGCCCACATCTATTTCCCCAATTCCCGTAACATGGAATTATTAAAAAGTACACTTATATAGTTGTTTGCAAAAAGTCCGGCCACCCATGGAAAAAGTCATGTTTTACTGAAATTTTTTTTTTTTTTTTTTTTATTGTAAAATTTTCACAATGACTGCACAGGGAATACATTTAAATCTGACCCTATTTCTGCAACATCGTAATGCAGCTATTCTTTACTTACTAAATTGGATTAACATCAATTACTGCAAATCTATAGGTAGATCGCAGTACATCAAGAAAACCCTAAAATTTGTGCATAAGCCCAATTTAGTTCAAGAGTATGAAAATACATAAACATTTGGGGGTTTTTAAATTTATAAATGCTGCAAATACATATATGTTAATCTGACAGCGAATTCCTAATTTGCAATTTCAGCCAACACTATAGTGGCTCTGGTGCACTGAGATCCCAGGCAGTGTCATCAACCCTTGAAAACACACCCCATTGGATGAAACGTGATGGAGGCAGAGCCTGTGCCGACGTCATCATGCCTACCAGAGGTGACGGCAGTTCTGGATTAATGTGTGATTGCCTGTTTAATGTGAGTAGATAAACAGTATATTGACATAATAAGCAACAGGTTGCATTATGGAATGCCTACAGTGAAGGAAATAAGTATTTGATCCCCTGCTGATTTTGAATGTTTGCCCACTCACAAAAAAATGATCAGTCTAAAAAGTGAATGGTAGGTGTATTGTAACACTGAGACAGAATAGCAACACAAAATTCAAAAGAAATGCATGTCTAACAAATTATGCACTGATTTGCATGTTCATGAGGGAAATAAGTATTTGATCCCCTATCATTCAGCAGGATTTCTGGCTACCAGGTGTCTTTCATACAGGTTACAAGCTGAGATTAGAAGCAGTCTCTTAAAGGGAGTGCTGCTAATCTCATTTTGTTACCTGTATAAAAGACACCTGTCCACAGGAGCAATCAAACACTCAGATTTCAAACTCTCCACCGTAGCAAAGACCAAAGAGCTGTCCAAGGATGTCAGGGACAAGATTGTAGACCTACACAAGGCTGGACTGGGCTACCAAACTATCGCCAAGCAGCTTGGTGAGAAGGTGACAACAGTTGGTGCAATCATTTGCAAATGGAAGAAACACAAAACAACTGTCAGTCTCCCTAGGTCTGGTGCACCATGCAAGATCTCACCTCGTGGAGTGTCGATCATGAGAACAGTGAGGAATCATCCCAGAAGTACACGTGAGGATCTGGTCAATGATCTCCAGGCAGCTGGGACCACAGTCACCAAGAAAACAATTGGTAACACACTACACCGACAAGGATTTAAATCCTGCAGTGCCAGCAAGGTCCCTCTGCTCAAGAAAGCACATGTCCAGGCCCATCTGAAGTTTGCCACTGAACATCTGAATCATGGACTGGTTGAAAGTGTGGTGGTCAGATGAGACCAAAATCAAGCTCTTAGACATCAACTCAACTCGTCGTGTTTGGAGGAGGAGGAATGCTGCCTATGACCCCAAGAACACCATCCCAACTGTCAAACATGGTGGTGGAAACATTCTGCTTTGGGGGTGTTTTTCTGCTAAGGGGACAGGACAACTGCACCGCATCAAAGGGACGATGGACGGGGCAATGTACCATCAAATCTTGGAGAGTACCTTCTTCCCTAAGTCAGGGCATTGAAAATAGACCATGGATGGGTGTTCCAGCATGACAATGACCCAAAAAACATGGCCAAGGCAACAAAGGAGTGGCTCAAGAAGAAGCACATTAGGGTCCTGGAGTGGCCTAGCCAGTCTCCAGTCCTTAATCTGATTGAAAATCTGTGGAGGGAGCTGAAAGTTTGAGTTACCAAACGTCAGCCACCAAACCTTAAGCACTTGGAGAGGATCTGCCAAGAAGAGTGGGCCAAAATCCCTCCTGAGATGTGTGCAAATCTGGTGGCCAACTACAGGAAATGCCTGACCTCTCTCTGTGAATGCCAACAAGGGATTTGCCACCAAGCACTAAGTCATGTTTTGCGAAGGGGATCAAATACTTGTCCCTCATGAACATGCAAATCAGTGCAGAATTTGTTAGACATGCATTTCTTTTGAATTTTTTGTTGCTATTCTGTCTCTCAGTGTTACAATACACCTACCATTCGATTTTTAGACTGATCATTTCTTTGTGAGTGGGCAAACATTCAAAATCAGCAGGGGATCAAATACTTATTTCCTTCACTGTATTTCTTTTGTCGGAATAACATGCATGGCGGAGGTGAAGTGCTGGTGCTGAATCCCTGCTAATGTGTACTGTGGTTCCCAAGTGCCTGTGGAAAATCCTGTTGTGATCCTCACTGATGGT